GTGGCGGTGCTTCCAAATAAAGAAGCCGGTTTCGTTGTAGGAGTTGTCCCCGCAGGCTGAGATGGCGCCTGCGACGCAAAAAGTGAAATACCGCTCGAGCTACTCATGGTGCCCGCGTTTCCGGAGGCTGCTGGCTTTGGACCCAACGTAGATGCAGGTTCAGCAGGTTTTGTGGTCGGAAAGAGAGATGAACTTGAATTCTGAGGTTGGCTGGCAGAGGGAAACAGCGAGCCGGCTGGCTTCGGCTGCGAGCTCCCCGAGCTATTTGGAAACAAGCTGGTCTGTTTGTTGTCGCTCTGCTGGGTCGACGGGAACAGAGAAGGAGTCGAACCGGCCTGAGCGGCGTTACCAAACATGCCTGTGCCCCCAGGTGGTTTGGAACTGTTTGCCGGAGGTGCACCAGCCGGCGTGGTCGAATTAAGGGAGAACAAAGGCTTTGCGGGTGTTACCTGACTCGCTGACGCAGTGTTCGAATTTGCGCCACCAAAAAGAGAACCCCCGGTAGTAGCACTGCCCGATCCGAATAGCCCACTCGGTTTATTGGTAGAGGCTCCCTGATTAGCTGCAGTATTCGCCTGCCCGAAGATTCCGCCGGCAGGGGCTGTCGTGGTAGGTGTCGTGCTCGCGGCGGTGGTGGCATTCGGGGTTGAAGACGTGTTACCAAACAGACTGGTGGTGCCTGTCCCTGCCGGTGTCGTGGCTGGCTTGCTTCCGAACAGACTGGCGCTCGAGGGTGCCTGCGACGCCGGGGCTCCAAAGAGAGCACCTCCAGTCCCAGCACCTCCGCTCAAGGACGGCGTAGATGCGCCAGGGGTAGTGCTGCTCGTAGCTCCGAAGAGCGACTTCTGTTCACCCGGCTTGGCACCCGCGCTCGCAAACAGGGCACCACTTGGAGCGCCCGATGAAGCGGTCGTGCTGCTGCTACCTCCACTGGCTGTGTTTCCGAAGGAGAAAGCAGCGGCGGGCTTCGATTGGCTGCCGAAAAGAGCACCTGACGATGCGGGTGCTGTTGTTGAGGAGCCAAACAGTCCACCACTGCTTGGGGCACTGGACGTGGTAGTGTTGTTGTTGGATTGCCCCGAAGAGCTCGGGGCGCCGAAGGAGAACGACATTACGTGGTCTCTGGAATGCAACGGGCTAGCGCACAGAGGCGACTGTTGTCGGGTGTCTTGAATGTTTTGCGGTGCCTTGCTAAGGTTGGCTTAGAGGTCTTGGGTGTCTCAGGTGTGTTGGGTTCGTTGACACAAAAGCAACTATTCTTCGATCAAGAATCAGGAGCCTATATTACCGTCTCCGGGCCACAGTAAAGGTGGTGGGAGAAGAAACGAAGGGCAGAGTTGGACTGGGTTGTGTTATCGGAGCGGTGATGAGACGGCGGCGAGCTTCGTGAACGGTAAATGTAGGCGGCAGGGACAGACAAGCACCCGGAACAAGTCAGACTGTGGTGGTCAAAGGTAAGGTTCAGTGGTGGATGGAAACAGATTAAAGGTCTTTTTGGATTGACCAACGCCTCCGTTTGTCGGCCTCCTAATCTACGTAATACCTAAGGTATAATCAAGAGTTTTAATAATACCCAGGCATATTTCACGACTTGACTTTTCGGCGCGACAAAGCTCATCAGCAGCTTCAAGGTACACTACACTAGCGCGCCGTCACAGTTTGTCGCTTGGCGGCTGGGCTCGTAGTAACAGGTGGCTGACAGCTGGTCCAGCGCTACGTAATGGAGTACGTACTGGGAGCTTGGACCACGCCCCTTTCCAAATGCCTGGGCGTTTCGGTACATCTATCTCAAGGCAGCAGAACGCTAAGCTGCACCATCTGTGCACAGCTTGCAGCTTACAGCTTACAGCGGTATGGGATGGCTGAGATCGCCTTACATCTTTCCATTATGGGTCTGCGAATGGGCCTCGGGCGGTCTAGACTGTGTACTTGCGTTAGGGTAGATCCATTAACCATGTCTCTCCCGTAGTACACCCGTAGGCTATACACCTGCTAACTGCTAGGGGGTGCTCCAGCTTCATCCTCCAAGCAGGTTCAATGGCCAATGCCAGTCAGTGCTCAGGTGTGCAGTGCAGTGTGCAGTGTGTCCCTAGTGCCCAGGTGGTGTGTGTGCGGTGTCTCCGATCCTCTTACCACAATCCCGATCTTGAGCACCTGTCGGCTTCCAAGGGAGCAAAGCAATGAAGAGAGTCCCATTAATTTAGGGGTCTCTATAACTGCATTGAAGCTTCACTCAACCTGCTCAATCCTGGCCAACATAATTGTCCCGTCTCTTTCAACCCCTGCTCCACCAGCAATATCTGTCTTTCGAGCCCATATCTTACTTGATACCTCAACGCCTCCTACCGCATTAATCACCTAAGCTACTACATGTAGAGAGTATCGACCTCCCTAACTATCTGTCTTCCTGCGGCGGCCGAGCCCGCTGCTTCTTTTACCCCTCAGCCATCTTATGGTGCCCACCTGTGAGCATTTAAGTAGTAGAGCACTTGAGCTTCCGAGCTCAACGCCGTGCTTCATTCCGAGCACCCGTTGATTCCTGAATCGCGAGTGTGCCATATCGGACTTCAGATCTGCCCGCTGCGTCTCCCAACATGTCCGGAGAGCGCAGACTGTCCTCCAGTCTTGAGGCGCCCGAGAGGACCAGGACCGAGGACCCTGGCGCGCACGAATTGGGTAAGCTCATTTTGCCTCGTCTGAAACCTGCTCCCACGGCCTAACATACCACGGCACAGAAGCCTCTGATTCGGACGAGCACTATTCCGATGCTCAGTCGTCCCCCAGAGATAATGCACGCGCTGTCTCTCCCATACCCAGGACCCGAGTCGAGAAAGTAGACGATGAGCCCTCCTACGGAGAAGTCCCCGGCACAGAAGCCTACAACAAAAGAACAGAGGACGCCTCGCCAGATGAAATAGCCATCGTGCAAGATGGTGACGCACAGTCCCCGCCTCCATCGTCCACCCATGCTGTCGCACCCAAAGACGCTGCCATTCCCAAAACGGTCGTCGACCAGACGGACGACGTACCGGGCTCTTCGACTCACAACTACAATGAGCAGCTCCATCAGGCGGACGCCACTCCAGACATGGTTCGGAAACCTGATGGGACGGGAGAGGCCAACCCTATCCCTGCTCCACTAGACGCCAGCACACAAGACACCGGTACGGCAACCAAGTCCTTCTAAAACCCACACTGCGATTGACCGTGCCTTGGTAGATGACACGGCCGTGAATCAAGTATTGAAGTCCCCCTCTACACGTGGGCGGAGCAAATCCTCAGCTACCAAATCGGTCACAAGTCTTCGCGATGACGAGGAGACAAATGATGTTGGTGACGATTTTGGTGACGACTTTGACGAATTCGAAGAGGGCGGCGAAGACGCGGATTTCGGCGATTTTGATGATGGCTTTCAACAGGCTGATGAGCCTACAGCCGCTCAGTCACCGATAAACCAGCCACTACAAGTCTCTATACCTTCCTTAGTGTGTCTAGTACCCTTCTTAGATAGCCTCATCACAGTCATGCTGACTTCTGTGTGCTCCAAGCCAATATTAGATCTTGACGGGCTAGACTCTGAAGATATCTTAGCCGCCTCTGACCCGTACTTGGATGCACTATACCCTTCTGACGTGCTCGATATTCCTCCCTTACCCTCGCCTCCAAATGACAACCCCATTTTTTTTAACCCGAGGAGTGCATCGTTATGGTCACAGTTAGCTGCACCGCCCCCTCTCCAGCCTCCTGACTGGATCCGTTCCCGTATCAGGAGACTTTTCTTAGTATCGCTCGGGGTGCCCGTAGATCTCGACGAGATACTACCTGCATCCAAGCAGAAAAAATTAGTTCTCCCATCCCTTCATCGAATTACATCGAACGGCTCACTGCGAACTTCTACAGACTCGCGCTCTGTGTCTCGACTGCGGAAATCAGACGCCAATGGCTCGTCTGTCTCCATTGACTCCCAAGGTAGAGAAAAGCCAAGGTCTGGCTCCAAAAAGCGGAAGGTTCCTCCTCAAATTCCGGAATTTGATCTGGTCGCGGCGAAACAGCTCTGCGCCACAACCGAAGAGGCCCTGAGAGGCATGACGGACATTGAGCTTCAACAGCACGTGAGGAAGCTAAAAGAAATGGAGGTCTTGGCAAACGAGGTCCATGAGTTTTGGAAGAAGCGCACGGACGAGAGAATAGGCGACAGGGAGGCGTTTGAAGGTGTCATAGAAAACTTGGTGAAGCACGCACGGAAGACAAGAAAATAATGAGGGATGCCCTACAATTACCTAATCTCATAATAGCCTAATTAATTTACACACACGAAGCTCCCACGCTCAATCCGCGTGTCACGTTATCGGTGTTTGAGTGTAATCTGAAATGTTGTGTCAGGCTTCGTCTTCCATCTGGCGACAAGATCATCATAGTCTTCTAATATTCGTGTAAGCAACGAACTATAGATCGATAATCAACTGCCCATGTGAAACCATGTCTGTGGTGATAATCGCCGCGTCTACAGACAGTATTGTTTTTTTTTTTTGTTTTTTTGTTTTTCGTGGGTCAAGAACCCATAACCCAATTCCAACAAAATAGATGATGTGGTGAATCGCTTGCCTGGTATTGTAAGCACTCCAGATTTGATGAGAAAATATATATTTCTGGACAATAATATATTTACGTAAGACCAAGACGCTGGAAAGATTGTTATAATGGATCTAAGTTTCTGGAATCGACTGAGTGAGGGAATTCTCTCCTTGATATATAGTTATCTCCTAAAGATTATCACCGACTACATAGAAAGGCCAGAACAATTGGAGGGAGGTAGGAGGTTATGAAAAAGAAGGAAAGAGCAGAGACCGGGAGGGGCTCTGCCACCCGCCCACAGCTGTTACAGTGGAGCGTCCACTGTTCTATCATGTACAACAACCGCACAAAGCAGCATGTATCGCAGTCCAGAGGAACAAATGGCAAAAAAAGATTCTGAAGCTGTGATAAATCGAAAAATTTACTGACCCCGGCAGGGGTCGAACCTGCAATCTCCTGATTCGGCGGCGGGTTCCAATTGTGATGTACGATTCGAACCCTGTCGTAGTCAGACGCCTTGCCATTGGGCCACGAGGCCAGTTTGTTGTGTTGCTTGGATGTTCTGCGCACTAAGCTAAACTAAGATGGGAAAGCGTTGTAGTGGACGGTAAAGAGTGTGACTGTGCATGCATTAGCACTACGCAGTAAGGTACGTACGCTGACCAAGCTCCGGAGTGGTTGGGCATAAGGGCTGATCGAACCCAAGCAAGTACCTACGTACCAGAATACCAGAATACCAGAGCGACGAGATGAGATTGTCAGGGATTTCCATACACGAGGCGGCCGCGGAATTTTTGCCGATGAGATGGTAGCTTAGACGAAGCGGTGGGTAGTCTGCAGATGTAGATCAGATTTGTACCCAGCAAAGTTGTTCGTTGCTGTCCGACATGAGTAACTGTTCTACCAGGATCAGTCCAACGTTCAGTCTTGGATGAATGTCATATGAGCTCTTGTGCTATGATATCTTAAGCAATGAACTTTTAGAGTAGAATCATCGAATCATAAGTGCGCTCTAATCGATATGAATCAAAGGGCTCCAAGTGCTTGATACTGAGAGGTGGGATACACCCACCATCGCGGCCTCCCTTTACTTGGATACTACCCCGGAGGCACGCTGGTCAGTGTTAATGGCCTATTCCTGGATTATGCTTGGGGGTGTTTCTGTCACTAGAAGTTATTGCTCGAAGTATCTTTAAGCACGCAGTCTTCAAGCCACTTGTCTTCATAGTCTTCGTCCTCCATCTTACGCAGTAACAGCTCATGCGCTTTTCCCTTCTCATAACCCTCCTCGAGCGTCTTCGGGATATCATCACAGTCGTCCACGGTCTCGTAGAACCTTGCCCCAAACGACCTCAGAACCTCGCACCTCTCGTCCGCATTTAGAGCCATATTGATATGCTCGTACCAACCATCCGGCTGACGTTTAAGATACGGCTTGACGACGCCCTCCTCGCCAAACCACATCCTATCTTCAGAGAATTTGTACACCCAGACACCATTGCCGGAAGATGGATACCCGACGTTGATTCGTGGCGGGAAGTGGAAGTCGTATGGCGTGTGCGCGAGGCGCTTGCGGTGGAATTCGTGGAACTTCCAGCTCGGCCACCGATGCGCGCCCTGCCGCATGATGGCGAGAGCGAGCTCGTCTTCCTCCTTGTTGCTATGTGAGCGTGGTGCTGACTTCAAGTTGGAAAGGCCCAGTTGCTTGAGCTGTACGGCGGTGAAGCGTCCGATGACGACTCCGCCCATTGAAGGATAGGCTTTGACTTGGCAATATAGTGGGAAGAACTCGGTACGCTTTTCTGTGTCCTTCACAGGGGTCTCAATATAACAGGCGTCCTCGGGCTTCTTATTCATGTTACGCGATGACATGCTAGGATTAAACATTGGGAGCGCCGGCTGGTCTAGCTGGCCACCCAAGAACGTAGGCAGGAATGGTAATATGGAGCGTATTGGTGAGATGACTTTAGCTAAAGCGGTATTGTGTAATGAACCTGACAATAAGATAAACGAAGGTTGGCTTATGCATATACCATAGAGAAACGTGTTGCGCGTAGTGCCAAAAGCTTGTAATTTCCATCAAGGGGAAATGCCCGCGTCAAGCCTCCTAGCCAACAGAATTCAACGAGAAGACTTGCGTACTCCGAGCGGCGGTGTTACTCTGAAACATGTGACGGTATTCGCTTACCGCCATGGGGAGCTTGGGGTCCTTTAAAAAAAACTTTGAAGACGCCCAGGCAGCTACCAACAACTAACATCCGCCGCCAGGTCGTGCCCCTGACCGATGACCAACCATGAATCATGACGATACGACTAGCTGAGTAACATGGTTTCTCAAAAAATACACATAACTTTTATGATAGGCCTTGTATTCACTAAATAATGTTAGAAGATATGTTCGTGTAATTCCAGGAATACGCTTTACGGTGCCGGCCATACGAAAAGCGACCGCAAGAACCTCCAGGGCCAGAGCCATACGACTCGAGGAGCCGGTGGCCAAGGGCGGCTCTCCTCGGAAAAGGAATCGGTGAGATCCCCATGGACCTCGGCTTGCCGCATCAAAGTGTTCTATATCAATAACTCGTCTCGGCTGCTGAGAAAACCACTGCCACTTGAGCTGGCTAATGCCTTCAGATAGCGGTAGCAGAATTGCCGCAAAGATGGCAACGAGGGCGTTGATTGTGATTCCCAAGGGCCACTGTGGGAGATAGTTCCCCTGATGTACAAGTAAGATAATAACGATAGCCACGAGTGAGATTATCGCCAAAAGGCAGCCAGGGGCTTCTGGGACCCAACCATATATCCGTGTAGGACTTGATCGCTGCTCCGATGATGGTATCGATTGCGCATGATGCTGTTGCCAGTGCTTCTCTGCTAGCGCAGCTGGTTCAGAGTTTCATCGCACTGCAACAACGAATCCATCGGTAGGGTAGCTGGGGGTGCTTGAAATATCGTGTGATTTGACATCGTGGGCACTGACTTGTGGTGTCTCTGATCCGACCGCCTAGTATCACTTCAACAACAAAAAAGTAAAAGAGCATTCATTCAGAGGATGAGAGCGAAAGAATACTAAGAGTTGAACGAAAGTCGTTCTCTCCGGAGCGATGGGGGCGAGGCTCGAGCAGTCCAGGTGGCGTAGCATCCCGCGTCTTACAAAGTAGCATCTCATTTTACATCAAGCCGCTTCTGCAACTGATAAAACGGCTAATAATCCAGTAAATACCAGTGGGTTTCTTGAGGGGAATATGAGTGCTGGTGAAAAGGAGGCGGCCCAATCCGAAACCTGGACAGTCTTACTTAACGTTCAATGCTCAATCAAAGACTTCACTACCTCATAGGGGCCACCGTATTGGTTTATGCCTTTCCTAGGCAGAACACCTAGACTCGATACCAGGCATCATGATCCTACTCGATTATAAATATTAATATGCCTTGCCTTCTATTGGCCTCTGCTGTTTAAGGGGGTTCACCTGCACTTTTCTCCTGGCAATGAGCTGTCTAAACCAGCTGCTCCCGGCATTTGTCAGCCCCGTGTAGGATTTTCCGACCTTATCTTGGATTTGAGCACAGGACTTTTTGTATGCCTTGTTGACCAGTGGCTTAAAGTCATAGTCTGGCCCGGTACTGCCGATCTCCTCTCTTTTAATCACAGTTTCGTTGACAACACTCAGTTCCTGTGTTCATGGTATACATCGTCTCGTTTTATCCATGAGTCCAAAGACGGTAATTATATTGAGATGAAAACCTTGCTTAGAACTAACGTTGGATTTAGTCATGGCATTGAGAGCGGGATATAATGATGTCTATAGACATATGTAAAATGAGCACCTGGCGACAAACCGTATAGTGCTGATCGGAACCGAACCAAACTCACTAGACGCTCAGGCGGTAAGTGTGTATTGAAAAGTATATGTATCTATGCCTAGGATTGGTAGGTAACTTAATAGGTATGTGTATCAGAAGTTACAAGACAGCGTCAGAGAACCAGGGAGACAGACTCAACTTTATTTATACGGAAGAATCTTCCACCGGAAGAGATGTAGTGGATGAAGTAGGCAGATAGATGAGTCGGGGAGAAAACAAAAACGAAACAACATTACGAATGGGTAATTCTTTGTATTTATCACTGAGTCTTTCATAATATGTGACATTAGGTAGTTATATACACCTATACATCACTTCAGATGGCCGCAGGGCTAGCCATAAAGCCCAATACGATGCCATATAAAGTACAGACCCGACTTGTAGCCTATATATCAGCATCTTGCCGAGAATGAAGTATAATCCGGCATACCACCAGCAATGACGGCCTTAGCTTGATATATATTGAGCTGTCGGCCTGCGACGCCTGCAACCTCCCTTGTGCTGTGTCTGTGGTCAAGAGGACTGCCGCACCATAGGCGAAGCCGCGTCTTATTGGTATTACTCGTCCTAGTGCCCCTCACATCAAGCGATTTTATCGCTATTGCCATCCTCATTGCTACCCGTACGGGCGGCCAGATGTAAGATACGCTCCCGCCCCTTAAACATCCTATGAGCGGCATCCGAACTAATACATAGGCGGGGATCGAACTTGGCTAGGCCAGGTTCACCTTCGGCGCCACCCATAGTGGCCAGGGCGGCAAGGCCCATATACGCGTGATATACGTCCGGTGGGCCGGCGGGGAATTTCGCAAAGCCGCCGATGAGATGCTGCGTCTTCTCGAGGATGAAGCGCCGCGCAGGGCGACGGTTTATGAGCTTTTCTTCGCCGAGCAGTACTAAAGCGCCGCTGTTCCACCAGGTGTAACAGGTGTCGGCAAGTTTGTTCAGGCGTCCGCTGAAACCCGCCAACTGGGGTATGCCATCGGTCAGAGAATCGGGGAGCGGGTGATTCGCAGCATCGTTATCATCAGGGCTTTCGCCGCTCGGTTCCAAGTACACAAACTGTCGGCTGACAAGAAAGTGTACCAGGGCGGGTACCGAGGGAATGCCAGCACGAATATAGTGGTTCGACGTTGGGCAAGGGTCGGGACCGGTTGAGTCGAGGAGTGCCAGCGCAGCAACACCGCAGTATGCGTAGCCACCTATCGTGGAGACACCCAGACAGACGAGTCAGCCTCGGTCTATACTGATAGGCGACGATGGGCGCCGAGATGGGACATAATGAGTGGAGAGATAGAAATGAGTGTCACGTACTATGACTTTCGTGCGTGGAACTTTCGCTCATGCCGCCGTCAAAGGTCTGCGCTCGGCGGATATGGCCTACGAGCGCATCGACATCGAAGTCTAGGGATTTGTCGCCTTCGCCGCCTCCTAAGGCCCAGCGTACGATGGCGGCGATATAGCAATACCTCATATCCCTGCCCCCGGATATGCGGCCGTCATCGGTCAGGACCTCGCCGAAGCTGCCATCTTGCCTCTGCAGCCTCTTCAGCCACCTTAAAGTGCGCTCCCTGTCGACGCGACAGAAGGCGTCGGACCCATCACCATCAGCGAGTATGCCCAGACACAACAGCGCGAAGCCAGTGGCGGCTATGTTGGCGTTGGCAGGATCAC